CGCCATACAACAGGGAGAAAAAGAAGTCAAAGGAACTGCTAGAAAAAATTACTAAGTATCTTCAAAAAAATATTTTCCAAATCCACATGCCAAACCCTAAGTCTCAACAAGCTCCATTCTTGCATGCACAAAGATCAGGATTTGCAAATAAAAGGTTGTTTCTGCAACAGAAACCCCAAAACCTCAAATTTGCTTAAGAAACAAAATCAAAATATTTTACTTCCCCGTGCAGCAACACCAGGCATCCCCCGAGCTGAAGGCACTGACTGAGGAGAGGGTAACGTGGACAGGGGGGGTCACGCTGCACACCCCTCAGGCAGCGAGGTGAAGAAGGAACGCCACAGCCAGCCGCACTTCGGCAGCAGTGCCCCATCTCCCCGCACAGACCAGCCCCAGGATCTCCACCGTGGCCCAGCTGGGCTCAGCACGCCGCCTGCCACAAGGGCGAGCATTTGGCATTTCCACAAAGCCAGTAATTTTGGGAAGGGCACAGAGTGCTGCCCAGCACTGACTTCAGCAGTGTGTGAATACGTGGCCTCCCACTTGATACGGCGCAAAGCCCGAGTGCCTCCACAGCCCCCAGCGAGGACATGCAACAACCTCCCAGCAAGCCCCAGCACAGGAGAAGCTCTTCTTGTGAAACCGTGGATGGAAGAAAAGGAAACGGGTCCTTCTGAGACGGGCTGCTCTGTGCGCGGCGTGGCTGACCCAAAAGACAAATTACCCTGAACAGCACATCCGAGTGCTTCACGGCTCGCTTCCTGTCTTCAGAAGCCCAGCTGTGAGCCCTGGGTCCTCTGCTGCCATTTACATCTGCAAATGCTGGGCCACCAAGGGCTGCCTCTGCATGCTGTCCTTCCTCTGCATGCTGTCCTTCCTCTGCATGCCAGCCGGCCACGCTGGCCTGCAGCCAGCTGTGGGCACAGCTGCCCGGGGCAGCAAAGAGGGCCGGGTGCTCTCCCACACCCCTTACAGTGTGTCCGGGCACAGCCACTGCCAGAAACGGTCGCTCACGCTGCAGGATCCACCCCCAGCACCGAGCAGGAGCACTGGAAAAACCCCAGCTGCTTCTCCCTGCCCCACTATAGCAGTCTGTGATTGCAGCAGGTCCAGAGCCAACGTGCTAGCAGTCATTTCTCCATGGAGAAGCACCTCAATGCCGCAGCCACTTGTGGATTTCCCAGTCTCAGTTTGGGCTCACTCGCCTGGGAACGTGCGATGGGAACCAGCCGCTTGCTTAACTTCCGAGCGTTGCGGATTGAGCAACCCTCTGCTGCTATCAGTGGTTCTTGTTTGCAGACCCTGTGAGGGGGAGAGGGGCTCGGGGCGGCTCCTCGGCGGGACCTCCCGCATGCTGCACGGCTCCTACGGGCAGGGCCAGCCCCAGGCAGTGTTGCCCAGCCTGCGCTCCTGCCTGCCCCTGCACTGCAAGGCCAGTACAAAAAGATGGACTGGGGATGAAAAGGGGGGGGAAAAGCATCGTTTACCTTTAGATAGGTTTTCTTTGAGGAGAATCCCTGTGATACTGGAGGCAGACAGGGGATTAGGAGAACTGCACAGACTAAAGGCTTGCAGAACGGTATGCAACAAAACAGGCAGACGACAACATGGCAAGCTTCTCCTGCCGGCCCGCACACTCACTGCCTGCGCTCAGAGGGCTGCGAAATCCAAAGTGAAACACGCTCTGCTGAGGCATGAGGCTAAGGCTTCCTAAATGCATCACAAATTTGTCAGAAGACGCATCTGTACGGTGCCAAATAAAACCACCTGCTGGGTGTTTGTTTTCAGTCTCCAAAAATGTTCTCGACAGTCACTTCATTTTATAGTGCTCCTGCCATCCCGCACATCCCCTGAAGGCTCAGCGTATCTGTAATGCAAACTGCCTTTGGAAGCATCTTCCTAAAATAGCGACAGAAATTACTAATACAGTTTCTAAAACCTACAGGCAGAGAATGGCAGCAGCACGAGCCTGCCCGTCCTTCTGGCGAGCCCACCAGCAAACCGTGTCCTGGAGAGACCCACGGCAGCTCCCGCCTCCACGTCCCCAGCCTGGGACATCTCGCCAGTGCCGGTGTGGAGGCCATAATTCTGCCTGTACCCCGCTGCAGCAATGCCCCCCGACACTGGCTGCAGCACTGGCTCCGGGTGATGCCGGGAAGGACCCGCGCGGCACTCAGCCGCCGCCACGGGACACGGTGCTGCTCATCCCAGGCGAGGGGCTTTCAGCTCAGCGGTGGCTGCCCCACCTCAGCTGACCTGCCACCAAACATCGAGGCATGGAAACTGGCTCTCACGGCCAGGTCCTAGCAGCGATGCTCTGGTCTTCAGCAGCCAGCCGCTGCTCCCTGGGAGAGCAGCACTGCCCCCCGAGCGTGCACGCAGGCACAAAAGCAACTTGCAGGAATGGAGAAAGCTCATCGCTCTGGACCAAAACACCAGGCTGCTGGGAGGGTGTTCATCGGTGCACCAGCAAGATCCACCAGCTCGTTCCACAAACTCCATCCCTGTGGGTTCACAAGCAGACCGTGGGGTGGTTACAAAGGTCAGCGCTGGAAATCACCCCCCAATTTCAGCGTCCACCTCCCCTGCATGAGCACCCTGCAGACCCTTGGCTCTCTCTGCCAGCAGCACAGCACGTCTGTTCCTGCGGGGTGCCACACACAGGCAGGCACCGAGCACAAGCTGCAGTCAGGCACGCTGTTACAAAACCCCGCTTGGAGGAAACATTTGAACCTGCGTTGGCACTTGACAAGCTCCCCACGAGCATGCTGCAGTATTCCCAGAAAAGCAACGTCAAATTTGGAAACCTGTTAGCACAAATCATTTTAATCTCTCCACTCACCCTTGCTTCAGTACCCGAGCATGAGAGAGCAGCGCAGCTGTGCAGAGGGGAGACTCACCGCCCGTACATTAAGTACAAGCAGCTGGCGGGGCCGGGCTCTGACTCGCAGAGGAAGACGTGTGAAGGGGTTTCAAGCTGTGAGATGTTTTTTGGACAGAGACCGAGCACGCAAACAAACACAGCGAGGGACAGAACAAAGGCCCGCGCAATGCAAACCATACCCTTCCCATGGAAGATCGTGGCCCAGCTCATGCTGCTGGCGGTGGGAAGGCGCTGCCAGCAGTGCCAGGATCCCAAGAAACTTGAGCTTGCTATGGAAATAGCGTGGATCTCGCATCCCTACCACGCACCACCGCAGCGGCCCGGTGACAGACAGGCAGAGCAGGGAGAGCATCGATGCTTTGGGTGGGCTGCGAGGCACCAACGCAGCCGTTGAGGAGCCTGTCTGCAACACCCTGCCAAGGGACCCGCGCCCCACGGCCGCCCAGCAGAAGCTGCAGCTGCCCAGACCTCAGCGGCTGCCAAAACCTTTTGTCCCAAAAGTTGAGGCTAACGCCGAGCCAGACCCACGGGCGCCGCCTCTCACCCTGCGCTTGCTTGCCCAGGGCCACAGGCAGCCACGCTCGCCCCAGCGGAGGAGGGCAGCCCCGACCCCCGGACTCAGCCCCGGGTGACCGGACAGACGGACAGCCCTGGCCCGTGGGTGCCCAAGGCCACTCTCCGCGCTCCTGCCCTGTACGGCGATGCACGGGTGACAAAGGGCACAGGCTGGTGCGGGACTCCCAAAGGGGTGCCAGGGAGACTGGGGGCGAGGGGAGCATGTCGGAAGGCAGGGAAGAGGGAAAAACAGGTCCACGGAGAGCCCTGCGCCGAGCACCCTGCACCACACGCCGTGCACCCTGCGCTGTGCACCAAGCTCTAGCCTCTGCACACCGTGCACTGCACCGCACGCAGCCTGCGTCGCTCCGTGCACCGAACTCCCCGCAACCCCCACGCGCCGAGCCCCGACCACCG